CCCAAGTATGCCATCTGTACCAGAGGAGCTTCAAGCACTAGAGCTGCATGTTCAGCTGAACATGTTGCAAATTTTTTACCAGACGTTGCATATATACTTGCATGCAGATAAGCCCAAATTAAAAATAAGGGTGTTTAATAGAAACACCAAGTAAGTATCTCCCCAAGGAGGCTGCTCTAGAGCTCAGGACTGCTTTGGCTGCTGCAGGGAAGGAAGAACCAAAAGCAAGATGGGATCTCTTGAGAATAGACCCCAGTGGCTGGGGTCTGTGCACATGTGATGAGGCCAGAGCATCACAAACAGCCTGTGCAGAGAAAAATCAGGTTTGACCAAGGGACAGTTTGTTTTACTTTATTCTGATCCCCACAGCAAGGACCCTCGGCACACAATGTGAATAACAAGCAGTTCAGAAAACAGAGTAAGAATTGAGCTGTTGCTGGCATGTCCTTCCTTTAGCTTCTCTCAGGGGATCAGCAGTCAGAGAGCTCAAGGCTCAGGGCAGCGCAAATCCCAGGGCACTGCACATCTCCAGCCACACATCTGTGCTGTGGCCTGAGCAGGTCACTGCTCCCCTGATGCAGACACTTGCAGGGAACTTTTTCTGCAAAATAACATCTGTGATCCTAACAGTGATTCACACCTGATTCTGCTCTTGATAATCCCACCATGCTTCCTGGTCTTTTTCTGTCTTGCAAGGCACATTTTCCTGTATCCATGCTGCATTTATGCATTGAGTGTGCTTTCCTTTGAGGAGGTGTTATGGGTATAAATGTACGTTAGCAAAGTAAAGCTTTGAAACACATATCTTAAGAGAGTATCAGAGCTCAGAGCAACACTAAGCCTAACACACCTATAATATTCCTAATTTGATCTGTCCAATCACTTTGTAGCCTTGCAAAATGTCTGAGCTACAACCTACTTCAAGCTAGGCCAAGAAGCCTAAAATCCTTACTGGATTACTGGATATTCCATCAAGCAAGAGACATAGGAAATGAACAGGAATCTTTCCCTGATAATACCACGCATTTGTTCCAAAGGATTAACTTCATTTCAGTAACTCCCCAGTTCAACTGCCTCAAGGGAACACTTATTTCCTGCAGTTTGAATCAAGGACATTTATCTAGCATTCTATATTACTGAACAAAAGCAAGCTGAAAAACATTGAATACCTCAAATTTTGCTCACATGTGCTACACACATGGACTTTTTTAAGACAAGTAGGAAGTCATGGATCTGTTGCAGAAAAGCACCCTATAATCTACAGCAACTCTCCAGATTTCAGCCCCTTGCCATGGTGTTAAAATATATGGACAATAGGAAAATGCAAAGCCCTACTTTTAACACTCTCACTGCATCTTAAAGGTGCTCTCTCCTCCAAGCTTGTGTGTGCTTCATGTAGGGAAGATCTTTCCTCATACTGATAAACTGAAAAAGAGAGTTTTTGCTATACTGAATAGAATACCTTGGACAAAAAAAGGTACCGTTTGGTATTATTTTATGTGTACATATGTAAACACACAGTCAGGCCTGAGTAAAGCACACTCATGGCTAAGCATCCCAGAGAAAGTAGATGGGCAGTTCAGGGGCGAGACAGAAAATGCTTTGGAATGGATAAATCATCTGCAAAAAACATCTCTTGATACCCTCACTCCTTGGACCTTGCTCCTGAACAAGTCAGGAGTTAAAATTCCATATGCTATTTTTAGTAAATGTACAGAATCACAGAATACACTGAGCTGGGAAGGGATCCACAAAGACCATCAAGTCCAACTCCTGGCCCTGCACAGAACCATCCCCACGAGTCACACCCTGTGCCTCAGAGTATCATCCAAATGCTCCTTGAGCTCTGTCAGCCTTGGTGCTGTGCCCACTGCCCTGGGGAGCCTGGTCAGTGCCCAACCACTCTCCGGGGGAAGAACCTTTTTCTAATATCCAACCTCAACCTCCTCTGACACAACTTCAGGCCATTCCCTCACATCCTGTCCCTAGTCCCCACGGAGTAGAGATTAGCACCTGCCCTTCCGTGTCTCTCCCAAGGAAGTTGTAACTGCAACAAAGTCTCCCCTCAGTCTCCTCTTCTCCAGCTGAACACACCAAGTGCACTCAGTGTCCTCACACGGCTTCAAATCAAGGCCCTTCACCATCCTCGTTGCCTCCTTTGGACACTCTCTAATGGCTTAATATCCTTCTTGTATTGTGGCACCCAAAACTGCCCCAATGTTGAGGTGAGGCCGCCCCAGGGCAGAGCAGAGCGGGACAATCCCCTCCCTGGCCCGGCCGGCGATGCTGGGCCTGATGCCCCCAGGACAGGGTTGGCCCTCCTGGCTGCCAGGGCACTGCTGACTCAGGGCCAACTGGCCTTTGACCAGAATCCCCAGGGCCCTTCCCTGGCACTGCTTTCCAGCCTCTCATTCCCAGTCTGTCCGTACATCTGGGGCTGCCCCATCCCAGGGGCAGAATCCAGCACTTCCCCTTGTTGGTGATTCCCAGCCCTCTGATCTGTTGAGGTCTCTCTGCAGGGCCTCCCTGCCTTTGCTATCTTAGCAAACAAATAAAACCAATTTGGAATGGATCCTAGAGGGAGGAAGGAAAGGAAAACAAAGCAACGCGAGTGTCCTAATCCTCCTGGGAAGGGATTCCAACACCAGTATGACTCCAGCAACGTCTGGACCCAGAGGAACAGTGGAATGGGGAGCACAGTACCCAGGAAAAGGGACAGGGACAGAGAAGTGTATCACGGGTTTAACTGCATTGTCATTTTTTTTCTGTACTGACAACAATTTGATTCTCAATATTTCACTTTCAATAACAAAAAATCCTTGTTTTTACTTAGAAGGTAGTGCTTTCTCTGTGCCCATAAACAAGATTTTGAGCATTAGATAGAAACAGTGGAAGTCTTGGTAACAAAGTAAAAGAACAAACCAAACCAATCCCTCTCTGCAACAGTTGTGCAGCTTTCACTATTAAGCCAGAGCTGGCCACAGTATTTTCTTCTTTTCAGAAGTGTAATTGAAAGCAACTGTGATATCCTCTCTCACCTCATGTCATCCAACCATCCCTAAATCAATGCAGACAAAACCTTCTCTAAACTCCTTTCAATTTGCTGTGAAATTGGAGAAATTTTCTTAGAAAGGAGGATGACTATATACAGCTCTGTCAAATGGCAGGATAGGAAAACATCAGCGAAGCATATAAACAATAAAGAAACTTAGGCTAACCCAAGGGTACAACTAGAAGGGAGAAATGAGGATGGATAGCAAACAAAGATTCTTGACAAATGAAAAGCATTTGGCACTCTCAAGAAAACTGCTGTGATCTCTGTTCCTTGAGAGTTTTGAAACTAGACACAATAAAATGCAAGAGAACCACCTTGCACTGGCAAGGAAACAAATTATATGGTGAATCGTCTCTATTCCTGATTTCTATTTCTCTGAAGCATTGCATCAAGACATTGAACTAATATCCTGTGTGTTCACTGAAGGCTGGGAATTTTCTGCTCTGCTCTGCTGCTGCACTACTTGCAGCTTTCAACATAAATTCTACCTCCACTCTACTCACAGGTGGGAGAACTAGGACCTGCTCCACATCAGCATCAGGACATTCTGGCTCCCTGCTCAAAGTGCTGTGCTGTCACTACTTGACTGGTCACAGTTCAACAGTCAAGAGCTGCAAATTTACAACTCAACTTTAGGCTTTGAAACTTTTGCTGTAGTTTACCTGTGTAAAATCCAAGCCCTCTGCCACAGAATCAAAGTGCCAGAAGGACTCTCATGCTCAGTAGGACATGGCAGCAACTGCTCCATTGACCAAAAGTCCCAGCAAAAACTTTGTTCAGTTTGCACAAGTGGTATGTACAAATAAACTTGTATTTTTAAGCAGTAAAAAGCCTCACCAACATGATCAATAGGATTACAGGACATAAGTATGTCTGGCACCTTTTGCCAGGGCTGAGATATGAAACAATACCTTGGTTTAGAGTGCCAGCTTTATTCCCATTTACCCAGCATAACTGCTCTGCTGGGCACAGTGCAGCAGGAATACTCCTGCCAGCAGCCACCGAGACACGAGTTCCCTGTCAAACCCAGCAGTACCAACCCCAGGGCTGGCACCTGCAGGTACCTGTGTATGCACTGAGCACCAGCCCGTGCCATTACTGCTGTTCATTGTGCCAGCAGATTCAGCACTGCCAGCAAACCTACTGAAATTACAGACCTGGCTTTAATTTGATGCACTGGCATATTTCAGCATCCTTGCTTGTGTGCTCCTCACCCTTGCTGCCTGAGCCTGCGTGATAACAGATTTTCAGGGAGGTGTAATAGTCGATGCCAGCTGAAATTAACCCTATTTTTAATTATACAGCAGCTACCGCAGTTCCTCAGACAAGAAACTGTAATTTTAAATTTCTCTACAGAAATCTTATCTCGAGAACCATACACTGGTGTGGAAGATCCGTCATTAAGTAACCAAAAAAAGCAGGTCCAAATTAAAATTCAATCAGGAGCTACATTCTCTGCTTAAATGATCATTAACTAAGTTATCACCTGAAAATTCACCCAGTTAATTCAGATCTCTCAGCTAAACATATGAAATGGCCTCTTTGGTGAGGAGGATAAAGGAACACTGACATGGCAAAGAACCTCAGAATTGGAAACAATTGAAAACTGTTGAGAGCATCTCAACTCTAGTTTTTTCCTTTAATATCTACAGGATCAGATTTTGTTTAGGAACTAAAACAGGTCTTTCTCGAGGAAATTTGAGGTAGCAGTTGAGATACATTAGGCACTGAATTTAATAACCCAAAGCAACTAAAGAATTTTATTCATTTGTGTTTAATAAAATCCCACTTCTTTACAGTAAGCATAATTTAAATCTTCATTCTTGATATGCTTCAAAAAACAAATCAAGAAATACGGTAAAAATTGTGGCAGATGTATCAACCCAAAAGGTTATCATTAATGAATCTATTGAAAAAGCAGTTTAACACCATTTATTGCCACCACGACAAATATGACAAGCTTGCAAATGAACACATTGGATACATAATGTTAACATCCATGTTCTGTCAGGTCCTCCTGTGACTAATCAAAATGCAGCTTTGATTGCTGTGACTAATAAATAATCCTGGCTAATAAAATTGCTGTATCTTGTAATTATGGCAGTGTGAACACTATCTTAATTATAGCAGTTTCAGAGCCTCATCCATCAATCAGTGATGAGCAACACTTCTAAAGGTTCACGAGCAGAAGAAAAAAGACCCAGTTGCCACTTACAGAGACGATCAGCAAAGCTCAGGAAGACTCACTTCACTTCACAGAATGTATAACCACCATCATCAATCCGTACCAAATTTTGGAGTGCACAGTGTGCTCAGAGCTGGCTTCCTGCTGCCCATGGTGGGAGCTACCACCCTGCATTTGTTGGGAAGAACACAGCAATCTCCCATAGTATCTGAAAAGAGAGAAAACAGTTACTTGGATACACAACTGGTATTTCAATTCGAGACTTTCAGCATTGGGATTGCCGCTGCAAGGCCAGGTATTATCCTGCTTGCAGAGATATTGCACCCCGTGATGTAAGTGATCCAGACACAGGCAGGAAAACTACAGCATTCAGGCTTTGGAAGATTTATCTGAACACAGAATGAATGGTACCAACAATCTCTTCCTCCAGCTGCCACCCAAAATAAATGTATTCACGGCATTGTGCTAGAGTTTCTCAGTTTGAGCCAATACTGGAAAAGTCTCACAACATATTAAGTTAATTGTGAGGTGGAGGGAGAGTTTTATACACAATTTTTCTGAAACCTCAAAGTTATTTGCATTCTTTTCCACCAATTCTAATACTCTTGCAATTTAGTGAAACTTTGATGCTCATGGAATAGTAGTTACAGGGAAAGAAACTGTTGCTTTTCAGTGTGGGATACAATGACTAACCAGCAGCTTTTCTCTTCCATTTCTGTGGCAAGCATGTTTTTTAAATCACACTTCTTAACAGTGCAAAGGCAGTAGCCAGTAGAGTTCAGGCACTGTTTATTTCCCCTAATTAAGAACTGGAAAAGAGGAAAGAAGGTGTCTCTCCCCTATTTCCTGGCCCTACACAGATGGCTGGGTGTTGATCAGACCAGTGCCACCATTGCACTTGTTAGTTTTAAAAGTGCTGTTGTTCCAGTGCCAGTGTTAAGTATTCCTCCAGAGGACTGAACACAGTTTCTAATAACAAAGATGGTGAAAATGGAATCTCTCCTTCTGCAGAAAGCACAGACTGCAGGAACTGTCAACATGTTAAGTTTTAAAATTAGGGTACCATTACCATGCAAACCAACACACAGCACAAGCTCCTGAGCGTGAGGGCAATACAAAAAACAAAACTACTTCATTACCTGCTTGTCAAAGCCAGAAGCCAAGACAAAAACCTGGAGATTTGAAGACACAGGCACAGGGACACTGACCTCAGCAGGAGCATGAATGGCAGGAGAGCACCAAGACTGCAGAGAACTAAGGCTGGACATGCAAACTGCTTCACTTTTATTATCATCTAAGGAGGAAAAGCAGAATGAAAGCAGATAAAAAATTGTAGCGCACTCCAGCAGGGAAGTGAAGGTCAAACTCAGCAAGAGACAATGCATTCTAATGAACATTTCCTTCAACTCTTGGAAGATTAAACTCAGTGCATCTTCAAATCCCACCAATATATTAAACTGCTCCAAAAAAGAATATATCAGACATACAAACCATAGAAATATCTTACTTTGCCCTGGCAGAGCTTCTCGAGTGCAAATATCAGAAAAAGTCTTAGGGCACGTATCTATAACCAGAAAAAACCAGTTATCCTACAGAACAGGAACCATCATTGAAAGGAAACGGAGTTAACAGTCAATACTATTCCCATAAGAAATAAAAAAGTCTTCAAATTTGTGTTGAAACACGAGTACAAAGTCTGCTGCTAAAGATCAGACCTGCTCATTTGAAAGCTAAAGCTAACATATCTAATAGGATGGAATAGGTCCCCGTGCCAGTGGATTAGAAGGCCCACTGAATATCAACTGACTGAAGGTTTACATACGTTTATTCAATACACACACACGGGTTTAGATCACTACAGCTGGTCCACTGCTCACATTATTGTTCCAAGGTCAGCGCTCAGCACCTTGCAAAGGCAGACCCAGAGAGGGAAACATGCATAAAATGAACAGTTAAGAGCTTAAAACAGTGTCTTAAAACAGTGTCAAACAAGCATGCAATACAAAAAAAGTCAAACCAAAACAACAAAAAGCCCCCTATAATCTCAGAGGCATGAAAATAAATTCCCACATACTCATGTTTTTCCTGCCTTTGCTCCATGGACATGGGGCAGAGTGATGTCAGGGCAAGGATTTACATATAGGACACAGCTCTGATTGAGTCTCCAGCTTTGAACTGGGACATGTATCCAGCATCCTATTGTGTATATCACACCTCATACTGCAAACCTACTGCCATGGACCCAACACACTTGTGATGGGAAGGTAAGGAACTGAGTCTCAATTCACTAGGATCCTGTTCCTTTTTCAAGTGTTTGTGAGCAACACGTACAGACAGAATGTTTTTCCAGAATGTTTTTCGGGCCCTTCAGCCATACAGCCAGCTGCCAGCTCAGGACACTGCACAAGGCAACACACTGAAACTCATGTTTGTGAAGTTACATTACTAAGCCAATTAACATTTAAATAGCTCCTTTTCATGACGCTTGAACACACAGGAGTCTGGTGCAGGAAAATTCTCCTGGTTTTTCAGCTGCCAGTTTTTCCCTCTTTAAGGCACTCAGTGTATTTTACCTTCAGGGATCATAGTTGCAACATAGTGTAACTAAAGAAGAGAGTTTAAAGAACTTGTGAAACCAACATTTCTAATTCTTAAAAGAAAGTTTTCCAGATTATATTCCAGTAAAATTGATGCTTTCCAAGGATAAGTCTGCAGAAGAGGGTATATGAATTATTAATGAATGATAATGCCTCTTCACAACAAAAAACCAAATGAATTGAAGTTGCATGTAGTGCACACAGTATTCCCAGCTCTTAATGTTGCTATGAAATGTGCTTTAGGTCCTCCAAGTCACAGATTTTAAAGATGGACAGACAGAAGGAAAGTGTGAGGTAACAGTGCAAATGACCACACTATATATTCTTTCTCTGTGACCATGGCCAAACAACTTGAATCTAGAGTGACTTGCACAGAGGAAAAATCACTCAAAAATTCACAGGCAGACACCCATCTCCTGTTACCCACACACTCAGTATATTCTGCCATTTCAGCATTTAGTTATTTTAATCTTCTCTTCACACTTTCAGCCTTTACCACAATCTGCCTCCAGGGTGGGACCATATTCAGAGCAGCTATGAAATAAACAGTTCTTTTCATACTGTTTTAATCTCTTTTAATTTTTCCTTCTTCACTACAGTACAGATCTTCAGCTGCTAGACTTTGGTTTAAAAGCAGGCAGCCCTGTCAGACAATTAGCAAAAGGTCTACCTGAGGGCTTTTCCTGGGTAATTTACAGCTTGACTGACCCATAAAAAATTATAGGGAAATAAGTCTATGGTACCTAAAAGTAATGGTTGTTTGTTCAGTTCAGCACTACTTAATTACTTTCCTTTAGTTCAAAGCAAAAAGGAAATAATTTATTCTTCAACTTCAAAAGAAACTACAAGGATGAAAAATGTGAAATTCTTAGTATGCTAAAAAAAGCAATACCTGCAAAAAACCCCCACCACTCTTTGGCTTTATAGGCATAGGATACTTTCCCTTCTAAGTAGGGTACAGGAGTCTAATGAGTACATGAAGCATATTACACAAAAATAAATGGCATTATGGCTTAAAAGATGGATAGGTCTGTACTTAACATGTAACTGTTTGTGACAGCCATTCCCATGGATTCCATTATATAGTTACTGACAGCCATAAAGGAGGCCTGAAGCTGATGCAGGGTATCACATACTTCTACAAACATGTATTTGAACAAGTTTGAAACCTAAAAGAGTATAGAAACTAAAATTATTTTAAATCTAATACCCATCTTTTCGCATTTCTATCAAAATTAGCAAATAAAATAAATATATAGTGACATTTGGCCTGAGTGCATTAAAAATCCATCTTTTCGTCTTGTGGTTCCTGAACCTTAAGAGATCATATGGGGCACAGGGTTTACTGGGAGCTATTGAGCACTACCCACTTTGTTGGGTTCTTTTCCTCTTTTATTGTTGGCCAAGAGATACTGTTTGCAGACCACAGAATAAAACTGCATCTGTACTGGAGACATGCCCATGTATACGTGTGTGTAAATATATATATATATTTACACATATCTGCATATCAGCCAGTGAGGTGAGCTCAAAATGTGAATTTTAAACACGAATTTGCACAATAGGAATTTGGAATACAGGATTCTATAGCTCATCTAGGGATAATTTTATTGCAAAGAAATATTTTCTGTAAAGGCCTTTGAGATAATTCCAGAGTGTTGTAAATGCTGCATCGAACCCCGTAATGACCACAGTACAAAGCAACTATGAGTTTGGACTGACCAGAGCAACAGAGTAATGCAATATTTAGTAAATCCAGGAAAAATAGATGCCTATCAGGGAAAAGATCTAGTCTTTCATTTGCAAGCTATACGAACTTTGCAATCGCTCTAGTTCCAAAACATACTTTCTGTTCCCAAAAGCAAAGCATTCGTGGTTGGTATCAGGGAAACAAAAACACTCTTGTTATTCAAGCTGAATGACTGAGCTGAGATACCATCTGGACAGAGACGTTCTGTCCAGACTTAATTTCCTAATAAATTGATTTTGCCCCTTTGGTCAACATACTCTCCCTTTTTCTGCAGTTTGAATGACTTGGTTTACCCCAGAAACGTTTTTTTTCCCGAAGTGAATTTCCCAGTGAAACTAATCCGTGCAGAGAACATTTGTGTGTTTTTCCAATACCAGCAGAAAGAAACACCACCACACAACTCCTGGATTCCCCACTACAGCACCGAACAGAGTTCACCAGCAGCCTACAGAAAGGTATTTACTGAATACACTGAAGAGAAGGCAAAGGGAACCACAAAGCTCATTCATATTCCTAAAGCAGAAAGAGGATTAATTTATTTAATAGATTGCTGACTTACCAACTTACACCTGATGCATAAGTGCTTCCTCTGTTCCTCACCAGCCCCTGTTCAGCTGAAACATGCCTGCTTCTACCTCTTACTCGAGCTGTAATCACTGGCTTTTAGTTGTTTGTGCTGATGGGTTTTTTTACATCTCCTTTTTAGAAGTAGTTTTTGCCTTGTCAGTGCAAATTCTGCAGTTATGGGCAATTACCAGGCTGGGGAAGGGCATTTGGAAAGGGGACAACAGCCACCTTTAGACTATGGATAAGATCTTTACAGCTGTTATTTAGCTTTGGTTTTCTGTTTAAAGAAACTTATGCAAAGACTGTGCCCCCTCTTTCCCTCTCAAGTCTGCCCTCAGGTTTTCATAACTTACTCGAATAGTGCCAGAGGAATCAAAGATAACTTGGTTCCTGAGAGTTTTATCAAGACTGATGGGCAGAGAAAGCAAGTCTGTAAGTGTTCAGACTGGAAAAAACTTCCCAATGCAGACTTCCATGAAATACCCAGAAAGAAAACTTGAGCTTTGGAGGGAGCACCATAAAAGGCATCAGAACCAGTAGCTGTCAACCCCATGACACACCTTTAAGAAAAATGATCTTCAGGTATTCCTGCAAGCACAAGAACATATTTTCTTCCTCCCTTATTCCTCCCAACTGCACATCACTTCAAAAGGATCTGTAACACTTACTTGCATATCTTAGCTCTTTCCATTGAAATGGCACCTAAAAGATGCTGAGTTGATGATTTCACAAACAGAAATCGTGAGCACGGGAACAGTGTGCAAGCACAGCAGTGTCACAAGCACCCTGCAGATACTCCTTAACCTTCTGCTCAAAACAACTATAATTAGAAGAGATTTGTGAAAACAAGGGTACAAAACTTGAAAAGTTGAAGCTCTCTCTACGCTGGCGAAGACTGAAGCTATCAGCATGAGTGGAAAATGAAACTGTTCAAATACCAGGCAGGAGGACCATCATGTTAAAAACAAAACAAACAAACAAACAAACAAAAAACAAATACAAAACCAAAAACCTAAACCAAACCTGGGTCAAACCTACATGATAATTTCAGGTTTCATCTGCAGACAAGCCTGAGGAACAGTGGCAGGCTGTGATGTATCTATTTTGGAACAGGTATGGCAATCTTCCTCCTCCTGCCTCTTGCACTAAGGAAAAGAAGGCTGTCAGTTAAATGGTTATTGCTAGATCAGGACCCTAATCCTGATCTCCTGCCACTCCACAGCCATCAAAGCAATCTCAACCTTTGGGAAATTAATCTGCCACTATGCAGCACTTGACAGACTGAAAACCTGACAAGTAGGGAGCTCATGGAAGCAAATTTATCTTCCTCCCCCGCTCGGCAAACATGTTACTGCTGATCAGAAAGGCGGTGCATAAGTGCTTACATACAGCATTAGTTCCTGAAATGCTCTGAGGCATTCTTAAGTATTATCAAGTTCCTGGATGTAAAACTATGGGTACATTTAGTCTGGTATTTGAGCAATCAAGAATTCCATTCATTACCGCTCTGATTCAATGACCTTACACACATAATCAATGGCTAAACTGATAAATGGGAAGACTTCTTAAAAATCTATTTCTTGAGTGCTGGAACTAAATGTTTTATTCTCGACAGCTGTAATTTATAATTTAGTGACAAGAACATTTGTTCCAGCTGTTCAGACCCATTTCACACAGCAGAGAAGGGAGCAC